TGACTACATACTGTCTTCATCACTGGAGAAGTTTTGGTAGCATGGTTATGGTTGTTCTTAAAGCAGTAGTGACAGTGACTTTGAGGGTGCTTAATGAAACAATAATGAATCTTTTATGCTTTCTAGCTCATTGTTTCTTGTGTTGCGTTGGCTACTAACTTCTACCAGAGTATGCAGAGCTTTTCTTAATTTCCTTGATTTCCTTAATTTTCTTAATTTTCCTTGGGGAAACATTTGCTGAGTGATCTTCTCTCCTTCCAATAACAAAAGCTCTGTTGATGCAAGTTAATTAAAGCAGCCAAGGTAGGAAGAACAGATTCCAAGTTGCCTTGGAGTACTGGAGTCAATATTTAGTCTGAGAACCTAGGAGAAAGACAGCAAAATTGAGAAGCTTTTGTTCATAAATAGTGCCTGAAAAGAAGTAAAAGATGTGCATGAAGCAAAGAACAGTATTGAAGACATAAATAAATATTTGTATGTATCAGAATAGAGTAAATAATTTTGTTTTCCAGCTTACTGTGAAGATAAGTGTTCCAATACAGTCCTTAGTTTTAAAATTACTAGCTGTCTGGAGCTAAATGCAAAGAAGACGGAGGACTAAGTTAGAAATTGAGAAAGGTATGGGTAAAAGGCAAGTCAGTGGTGAAACAGTTGATAAAATCACTGAAGAACCATCACAACCATGAGAAGCAATATTATGTAACAAAACATTTGGATTTTGCTGACAAGGTAGCTTTCTGAGTGGCTATTTCAATCTACATACAATTAAAGCCTGAAAGACACTATGCACTATTATAAAAAGATGGAATTAATAATCTGTTTTTCAGGAAAAAAATATCTCATTAGTGTCTTGGTAACTGTCAACTTTGTTAGAATGCAAAAAAGTACAATAGATGGGCTCATTTACATCTTTCACCCTAACATACAAATGAAAGGAATATATCCACAAGTAATAATTATTCAAAAACCAGCAAAAGTTCACTTACCAATTAAACAAGATTTAATGATTGAAAAGTTTTTCTTTAAAGACTAAATGTCAGTCTTCAACCTGGATGTTACTTATACCTCAATGTAAATATGAAAGCTAGACATTTCCAAGTGGAAAAAAGAAAGAAATTGCTTTCCAAAGAAAATGCCTCAGGAAAACATTAATTATTATTCTGACTGCATTTGACCAATGTGGAACTGAAATTAGTGGAGTTTGGTTTCTTCAAAGTTCTTAAAGTTTTAGGCAAATATCTGGGACATGCTAGCACAGACGTTCTAAACAACTGGTAATTTGTTTCTTCTGCTACGTAAGATGTGCCTTTTTTCAGCTTGACTTAACAGACTAAATGTAACTATACATTATATAGGTATAACTTACACAATTTATGATGGATACCTGATAAAGCAATTTATGTATCACTTTTAAATTTCTAGGTGTAGCATTTAAGCAACGTGGATAATAACTGTCATGTTCTCACCTTTAGAGTCTAAAAAAAGAAAATGGCAGTGCTAAGACTAAGGCTTGAATTTCCTTCTTTAAATAAGGCAGGAGTTAGGTCTCTCCTCTGATTTACTTTCCTTAAGACATGGAAGACCACTTTGCGTTCTGCATTTTTTTTTTTTTTCCTGAATTGTATATTGTGGAGAGGGGTGTGTCTGAAGGAGAGCAATGTGAAGTTTTATTTCATGACAAAACCAAAACAAACAAAAACCCCACAATACCATTTTCAGCCTTTTATTGATGCTTACATCAACCATTAGAGAATCATGAGGGAAATTTTTTCCTGTCCTTTGAAAATGTCACTGAGTTGTTATATTTGTACTAAAAGCCCAGTAATGTCAATCTGTGTTACTGATTCCCTTTCTTCCATACTTTTGGTGATGCTGTATGAAAAGAATCTAGATGCTTTATGTAGTAAGTTATATGGGCTCATTACAAAAAAATATTTGGTGGTGTTGAAAGCGTTTTTGCTTAAACAGTTGTGTTAGTTTTGAAAAATGTTACCTCTGTTCATAAAGATTTTGTGCAAACACTTTACATGGAATAAACGTAATGCAGTTTTTTTTTATTGAGCCTATTTCGGTGTAAATGCTGCTGAAACAATTTTTAATAGTTTAGAATGCCTTGGCAAAAAATTACTTATTAATTTTGTGCAACACTGGAGATTTGTAACATGCTGTGAAAGGTTAAAATCCAACTTTTTTTCAAAAGGAAATTGATCAGTGCTAAAATGTCAGATGCCTAGGTACAGCAGCATACCAGCATGCAAACACGGTTCTCTTATTTCAGGTTCCCCAGCTGCATAGCATTTGCATTGTGACATTTTGTTACAACATTAGCAAGATAGCTGAGGTTTCAAAATCAATCAGTTTTTGTTGGTATGAGGCAGTCTGCAACTTAGTTGGGTGTTTGAGGCTTGTCTCTGAAATGTAATTTCATTGAATTCTGGAGTTCTGGTGGTATCTGAATCTCAAGACTTCTTACTGATATCTGCAGAATTGTGCAGTTTTGAAATCCACGTAAGGTTATAATTCTGAATTATCTTAAAATAAAAAAGTAAAATAAAGCAATCATAGAATCATAGAATTGTTAAGGTTAGAAGGGACCTTAAAAATCATCAAGTTTCAACCCACGGGCTAATATTAAGAATTCCTCAGAAGTACAAAACTTTTCTAGGAATTTTATTTTAAATTTAATGTAAGGCAATTGTTTTGGTGTCTACTGTGTTAAAATGAGAGAGAAAAATAAGCCAACTTACTGGACAGTTCATATGCTTTAGTACTACTTTTTAGGGAATTATGGGCTAAAATTCAGGTTTTGTTGAATATGAAATTGTTTTAAATTTATACAACTCGTACTCATCAGCAATACTAATCAGAAGCCTTTCCTGACTTATAATTCCTCCATTTAGGAGGTATTTTGGAATAAAAGGTACATCAAACTGGTGTTCATCTCTGCAGACAATCAGATTACAGTGGGAAAAAAAAATACCTTAGAGATTTATGTTTGAGATATGTCAATATATGGTAGAGTCTCCCTTTTTAAATAACAGCATGGGCTTGATTATATGGATTGAGAAACACTTGTAGTTAGACTCAATGTAAGGGGAACTGAAAGGCCTGCTATTTGCTGTAATCATGTTGAGTATGTGCATGATTTCTGTTTTCCTAAATACTATAAATATATAAAGAGTACTTTTATGTGTGTGGTGTATCTATATTAATATAGTGAAGGTTATGACCCAGTCCTTAAGTTAGCACAACTAAGATGTTTCTACAGCATTATTTTTAACCTGTTCTGTATCTTAAAATGGGGATTAGGGGAGGAAAGCCTCCCAAATGTTTTCATAGAATCTCCTTGAAGTTGTTTTTTCTTTTGATCAAGCAGATACTCCAGAAGCTTAACTAATCTAGGTAGACTAGGATAAGGAGAAAAATCCTGAATTAAGTAAACCACTTTCACAGAAAAGATCTTGCTTTCATCTCTCATGTTTTGGATATTCTCAGAGGGGAGGGGTGATGAGAGGTGAAGTGAGGGTAGAGGTGGGGAAAGCTGGAATCTGTATTTCTAAATCTCAGGTATGTCATGGCTACGGTGCTGTCAAAAAAAATTATGTATGTCTGTTTTAAGTTACATGGATGTTGATTCTCTGTAAAATGGTTACATTTGGAAAACAAGTTAAAACACTGCAGGCCGAACACATTTTTGAATAAAGCTTGTCTAGTATTGAAGAATTAGTTGGAAAACGTGTAGTGCCTAGTAATGTTGAATAGGTATCTCTTAAGTGTAGTCTCAAAAAATTCAAGATATGGGAATAGGTTAAGTAGTGTCGAGTCACCAGCTTAAAACATAGTTTTGTTTAATTCCACAGATGATAATTTCTAATTCCATACTTAAGTTTTGTTACTGCTTCAGATACTATTACAATGTTATATTTTACTCATATCTTTGTTTCCATTTATCTTTTATCTCCCATTTGCACTTCCCTACTGTGCAGGCTTGTACTCAGCTGTGTGATGCATTTAATGGGAACAAATAGACCACAGTCAGAAGTCTATGAAGGAAGACTGTTTCTAGTAGATGTACAGCATGATGATTGTTAATCATCATCTAAGAATTTATTGGTTTGTGGAGCAAAGCAGTTAATACCACCTCTGTTTTCTTCTGGAGTTAGTTTTTTTAGATAAGTAGATTTTAAATTCCTGGAAACAGGATTGCTATTAGTCTTTGATGAAGATTAATTGTTCATATCAGGACCTTTAACCACAGGTTTGAAGAATTTAAGGAAAAGCTGTGGTTTGCATGTGTACCACAAGTGATAGGAGTTTCCCCTTCCTCTGTCTTCCCAGGTCAGATCCTGCTTTAGATCAAATCTAAGCTAAGTTTGTTTCTGATTGATTGCAGAAACATTCCTGCAAAAAATCACTGTAAAATGTCCAGCAAGGATGCAGTGTTAGCGCCTTTCCCTGTCAAAATTAGCATAACCTTAATGTGACTTTACAGAAACATGGTGACATAATGTCACTTTGAGAAGGCTTCTGTGAAGTCTGTATCCACAAAACCATGCCTGTCTTATTTTTGTCTAGCTAATGAAATAATTTTCTACTTAGTTGTTATTACTGATTAAGCTATGGTATAATTGATGTTGTCTATGCAGAGTTGTCAAATTTAAGTTAGCCTCAAGATTTCCACTTAATTTATTTGTTTCTCAGATCTCTTAGTTATTTAATTCAGATAACATTGTAATTTAAGATTTTTTTTTCACTCTTTGTCTTTGTTAAATTGTAAATCTTTCTGCTAATTTCAGATGCAGTAAGGTCGTGCTTATTTATTTTTAATAGGGGGAAGTACATCTTACCCAATGTTGTGTAAAATTGCAGCAACGCAGAGTGATTTGTTACGTCATTCCTG